CGTGCGGACCGACGCTCTGACATACCGAGCCTCTGAATGTACCGAACAGCGAAAGACAGACGATTTACGGGTCAGATGGCTGACTATAGCACTCAGGAACTACCTAGAACTTGTTTACTGGTATTTTGTTTGGCTTCCTGCGATGCCGAACAATGAGATGGAACAGCTGATGAGTGAAGCCACTTGTGAGTCAACTTCACAGCTGCAGGCGCATTAACATTCCAGCTGATATCGCAAACAGCTGACTCACCCGACGTCAGTGAGGGGAGGCTTCCCTCGACCCCTCCTGTAGCACAGGAACAGCTCGGGGCTCTTCAGGCTGCCATGGTTCAGGTTGGCCGGCAGGCCGCTGGGGGTGCTATCAACGCACGTGAAGCCCTCAGGCACCGTTTCTCCCGCCGACCTGTTGATCACGGCCAAGTCTGTGATGGGTGCTTTAGGTCCGCTGGACTTGGTCTCTGACAGGTCCTGCTCCAGGGGCGTGGACTTGTCTGTCAGCCCGGCCACCACAAAGTAGTCGGTCACGCGGTGACCCTTGTCCTCGATCATGGCTGGGGGCACCTGGAAGGGAGAAGAGAAATACGAGATTAATTTGCAATGACATTTCTACGGTGCAGAATTTATTTTTACCCAACTTACCACTTTTACAAAAGACAAAGTATTATTTTCTCTGTTGTGACAAACTTCACTATATTTTGACTGCACACTACATGTTGGTCAAAGCAACGCTCTTACATCTCACTTTGGGACAGACACAGAATGCTAAATGATACCGTGGCCAAGACAATAAAAGGATCCTTTAAGACTTCTGCACTACACTGAAGCAAACACACTGGCACAGCACAAGGGCTAATGAAGGCACTGCTGACGTTCACAAACACTCTTGTCATTGTATATCACACATTGCTCCAAGCGCACTGTGAGTCAAAGCCCCGGTGGCTACAGGGAGAGCGGCCGAGCCCAGAGGAATGCCACCGAGAGCATAAACCAAGTTGACACCGAAGTCTGTGAAATCCTTCAAAAATGGTTGGAAAATTGGCTGTGAGTCAAAGCCCCGGTGGCTACAGGGAGAGCGGCTGAGCCCAGAGGAATGCCACCGAGAGCATAAACCAAGTTGACACAAAGTCTGTGAAATCCTTCAAAAATTGTTGGAAAATTGGCTCAAATGATGGGAAACTTTCACACCCGTGCCAAAATACACCTTTAGTTATTTTCTGCTCAAAGCTTTAAAGAGTTTCTCCAAAACGTTTGAGTCATGTTACCAAATTCAGTCAGTGACTCAGTATAGTGAACATGCAGTGACATGTCTTGACCATAAAATGACGAAGACCACCGTGAAGATGCCCACTTTTACGCATGCAGTAACAGTACGGCATCAAGTGTGTTGAACGTTTTTCTCCAGAAACGTGATAAATCTGTTTTTAGTCCATGTTCACTAGAACTTTGGAGACACTTCTTGGTTTGCAAAAAGGGAGATGCCTTAAATTTGACAACTGTTGCTCCTCATTTATACTCTGTATTATGGTACAAGTGGCACAGCGGTGCAGTGGTTAGCGCTGTAGCCTCACAGCAACAAAGTTCCCAGGCGTGTGCGTGTTCTCCCTGTGCCTGCGTGGGTTCTCTCCGGCTTCCTCCCACAGTCCAAACACATGCGGCTTAGCTTGATTGGCGACTCTAAATTGCCTGTAGAAGTGAGTGCAAGTGTGGTTGTCTGACTCTAAGCGTCAGCCCTGTGATAGACTGGTGACCTGTCCAGGGTGGACCCCCCCTCTCACCCAATGTCAGCTGGAATTGGATTCAGCCCCCCCACAACCCTATTCAGGAATAAGCGGTATACAAAGGAAGAAAAAGCCTACAGGCAGCCCTGGACTTCACCATGCACGTCTTTCATTTCTATTCTGGGCTCAATATGATCCCAATATGGTGCAAACATTTCGTGTGAAACCACAGTACAGGCAGAGCAGCTCTGAGAGCAGGGGGCTGTTTCCTGTAGTGCACGGCGGAGTCTGCTGGCTTGCAGTTCAGTGCAGGACATCTGCTGGCTCGAGCCGTGGCAGGAGGCACACTGAGCGGCCCGGGAGGAAAATTATGCAGCCATAGTACGACAGCAAACACACACTCGACACACGTATTTCACTTTGATTTCCATTAACTAGGCAGCACAGGCATCGCTGTGATGCCTGTGGAACATCAAATTGTTTCAATGCTTCTGAATGGGACGTCACACTTTGTGTGACAGAAAGATGAACACAACCCTGTTTGTTGTTCTTACACTTGGCATCCTGCCTATGTGAACACAGCACTGCCAGCCTTATCGGCCAGGTAGCTTTGAAGAACTGCAGCTGGACACGTGCCCAGAATATGACCCAATTCTTCATTACTCTTTAAACAATGTCAGAAAAAGGCTCAAACCAAAGAGCACAGTGTAACTGCAGTGAAAACAGCACTTTGTCAGGTCCAATCAGAGGCTGCATGACGTCAACTTTCCACAAACAAAAATGGCAACACAAGTGCATCAGCAACACTGGAACAGTTCACTCCCACAAACCTTTCAAAAGGATCTTCTGCTGCACTAATTAATGGATAAACAGATCTCAAATATCAAACAGGATCGGCATTGTGTTGTGCAATGTCAGTGCACAAGCTTAAATGAATCCCAACCCCGTGAATTCACCGTACTTTTCTTGCTGAATCTGAGGAACGGCACCGAATTGTGTTTATTTGTTCTTGTAAATAACATTCATTCAAACTGTTTCCAGATGTGGCTTTTCACAACACGACCACCACTTTGCTGTCTGTTCCACTCACGCTTCTTTTGACTGGATCCAGCTCCTTTTTTATGACGATGCACGACAGAAACCCGTTGACACGCAGCTGCTCTGAAGAGCTTTACTGTCCTGTATCCATGGTTACGACTCACCGGTCAAAAGCTTCAGAAAGATGTTTTCAGAAATACTGGCTTTATGACAAAGCACCGTGTGCAATGTGTCCGTACCAAAGGCTGTGTGTACTCTGGTGGTTAAACAGTGACTAGAGAGTCTTCCTGTGCGTGTGGTCAATTAACATCTGTTTACAGCTCAAACCAAACTCAGATATTCCACAACACACGCTGTATTATACGATACGGTGTGACAGGAGCAGGGTAGATCTTCAGTGCACTCAATAAATTATTCACTGCACTCATACATCTGAGTTGTTAAGCGCAGACGTCTCTGTAACATTTAACTACATGACCACACAGACAGAAGCCCACTAACCACCCGTCAACGTGCACAGACCTGGCATCGCCATATCAGGTTGTGTATACGCGAGATGTCACGCAAGGGCAGCTGCCTGCATTCTGACACCTGCACTAATAATGTATTGCAGGATTGTGGGGGGGATCTCAGTCTCTGATTCAAATGTTTAAAGGGTGAATGAACTAATTGTCAGTGCTTTGACACACCACACCCTGACCCATTGTCTCTGGCTTTATCTGATAATGTGACAATCTTTGTTAATGCGCCTTTAAAGTTGGAACTACTTGTTAAAGTCCCCTCAGCCTCCAGCGCACGCCTCGCGACCATACAAATCTCTCATTGTGACAGCTAATGATAGCCAAACACTGACGCTGCCACGGCAACCGAGCCCCAACAATGCCAAGCTGAGCGACCGTGAGCTGTGACTAGCGTTACTCCATCTGAGGAAACTGATCACCGAGTCTTTTAAAAGTACATTCATTTACTTAGTGTGACTGGAAGGACGTCACAGCAAACTCTGCTGTTTAGTTTTATGTGTTATGTAGATAAAAACCGGCCATAAACGGCGAAGGTGTTTGCAGCAGATTACAATCAAAGCCTTAAAACTCATATAAACAGAAGTGAATAGAACATGCAGGATTTTCTGCCCGTCTTGTTCTGCACTTGCAGAGACATGCAGGGTGGACAACTTAAACATCAAGGCAAAAACGGTGAAGCTTCTCAGGCAAACCAGTCTATTTACTCCCCTCCGTATACAGCTTTGTGTTGTAACTTGAGCCCCTGCCTCAAAAGCCTGAGCTCTGCCCCACCCTTCCTGTGTGAGAACCTGTTCCCCTGTTACTCCTGGGCCCTGATGATCGAGTGTCACGCTCTTTGTCTGGCTAGCGCTCAGGGAGAAAGGTCACTGCGAACCATGACACGAAAAGACTTTGAAGCCGTAGGATTCACTTCTTCTCTGAAACTGGTTTCTGGCTTCCTTGTAGCTCTTCGCTGTTAAAGCCCAGGCTTTGATGTGGAGCGAGTCCCCACCACACTTTGTATGTGACACACAGTAGAACTGAACAGTGCAGAATTAATTATACCATGGTATTTACTCTAGTTCTAAAAGAATAAAACCACTTTTCATGAGATGTGCTGGTTCAGGCTGGGGATTTTCTGCTTTTCATAGTCTTACATACAAGATGGAATGACAGCAGCTTGTTCTTTTTGAACTCAGAAACCAGCAATACAGAGAAAATATAAGATGGAATGACAGCAGCTTGTTCTTTCTGAACTCAGAAACCAACAATTTATATTTCAGAGCAAGTCCAACTGAGAAAGTAACATGAGTGGTTGCAAATATGTCATTAAAAGTATGATATCTGCAAAAAATAGTGGTGCGGTGAGCAAAATGCAATCTGCGATCATTTTCAGTTCTAATATCACACACTGTCCCTCATGGCCTCTGGCTAACCGGCAGTGGAGAGTCCTGCTCCTCAGCAGAGCCGCTGGTCTGAACTTGTTTGCTGAAGTGCCAGCGGCTGGCTGTGCAGCCCAACAACCTCTGAGGGCAGAGGAAAACGCTGCCATAAATAAACCTGGGGAGGACCTTGTGTACCAAGCCTGACGTGTGCACACACTTAGCGCCCCTTAATGTCCAAGGTGGCAAATTCAGTGAAGGCAAAGCTGAGGTGGACAGAGAGCAAGAGGCAGAGATACAGTAGGTTATAAGAGTGTACACCCCCGCCCCCGACCGCAGCATAATGATCTCTTGTACACAAAAGAGCCTGGAGGCTCGCTCCCCAGGGCAGAAAGAGCCTGTCCGCATGCGTTTGTGCGAGTTGCTGGACAAGAGACAGTGCTGTGTCTGTCTCAGTTATGTCAGCAGGAGCCACTCGCAGCTCGACTGAAGCAGCAGCTGAGCATGGCACACAACTGTACTGCCCCCGACCCAGGGCAACGCGAATGACAATCAAAATCGATCACAATAAGGAGCGGTCTGACCCTTGGCTAGAAAGGCAAACATATATGTGAACGTCTGTGCAAGTGAAGCTTATCCATCATCACGCACCAGTGCTGCTGACAAGCACTGAGATCAGACCTGAAACCTTGCTGATGCCCAGTGACAGACAAAAGTAAAGGCAATGTCATCTCGGCTCTGGCGGCGTATCAGCGTTTGCAGCACCAGTGCCCGACTCAAGTGCCACTCTGTAACTCCAGGCTTTGGAGTGGCTCCCCCTGCCACCTGTCATCGCAGTGTGCCATCAGTGGAGGAGGCCAGACTGAGTACAAGGTGCCAATGAGGTGCACAAACCTCCATTTTACAAGGCAACAACCATAGAAAAACCAGCATTCTGTGCTCTGACTGAATTCACACGGTGCAAGCAACAGTGTGTGTGTTTGCATGGCAGACTGTAAATAGCACACCTGCTAATTCCTCTCAACAGTGTGTTGTGACAACAGTAACAGCCCATAAGAAAAAAAAACTCACTTTAGCATCTATTCTGACAAAAGGCAGGAAATATATTTCACTGTTCAATATTGACTGTTCAGTGTGTGAGAGGTGGGGCCTTCTGGCTGCAGATAAGACTGTGTGTGAGAGCCTGGCTTTATCTTATCGACATGTTAACATCTCCTTCGGTCAAAGCAGAAGACCAGTGGTGAACTCTATCCCTCAGTCGAGTTGAGTTTTTTTCTTATTATGTAAAATCCAGTTTACAGGGGCAGATACAACCCAAATAAGTGAAGCTGAAAATGTCTAATTTTGCCTCCTGGATGATCTGTCGGGTCGTGAGCGTGAGCTCTTTGAGGCGGGTGCAGAACTGCTGAGGCCAACAAGCTTAGACAAGTACAGTCGGAAAATTCAACGTTTGCTGTAAAATGTGACTTTTCCACAGCTACACACACGAGGTGGGGAGGTGAGACGGCAAGAGGCAGCTCAGAGCGGGGAGGTTAGGCTCAGCACAGACGTCACAAGACTGCCTCCTTCCTGGAGCGTGACAGCCCCGCGGACACACAGCATTCTTTCCACTGTGAGGAGAAGGGAGACGGCGCTAACTCAATGCCCTTACTCACTAGCTGGGCCTACAGCTGCTGAGACTGGGCGACGTGAATGTAGACAGCAGGTTACCAGGCTTGGCTGGATTACAACTCCTTGGTGTTACTCTTTTGGCTAGAAACAACTTTCTGGAGTTAATGTGCTGTAAGACAAGGAAACAGGCAGCGCAGCAAAGACTCACTGCTGAAGTGTTTCAGGTACGTCCCGGCTCAGGAGGCCCGGGAGCCTGTACCGTCAGTAACCTGGGCACAGAATTATGTAGAAACATATGTAGCAGTAGCTGTGAGAAGGAAGGTCATGGCTGCTGAAGTGTCCCTGAGCTGGGGGATGCTACTGTGCAGACAGACAAAACATACACTAAATACTTACTAACTACAAAAGAGTACATTTTCTGAAAGCAATGAATGTGTGTGACAGTTAGAAAAATACTGAAAGCACAAATGGAAGGGCTGGAGGAAGTGAGTATTAGTTAATGTGCTTCAAAAAGCTAAAAGTCAAACATAGTGATACACTGACCAGTCAGAAGGAGGAGCTTAGCTGAGGTGTTGTTCTTTGAGGAATAGGACATAAAAAGCTGGTGAAATGTCAAGTAACTGCCTTTAGAAAAACACACTCCTCTCACTGGACCACAGAGTGAATCACCAGCCTGACTTTTGCTTAGACAACAGCCTGCTGCAGCTCCCTGGGTCAGCAGACTTCCTTTCCTTGGCCACCTGACAGAGCCTCTGGACGCCCAGCAGCTGTAACAAAGTCCAAGTTCAATGCACACAAAGCCACAGTGCAGCCGTGACCCGCTTTATACCTGGAGCAGTTAGCAGGAGGCAACACTCCCTCCACTCCCCTTCCCTGATCTGGCGGCTGTCAGACCAAGCCAAGGTCAAGGAAGAGATTTCTCTGCAGCGTTTCCGTGTGTCAGCTGCTTAGCGCTGATGCAACTCTGCAAGAGCAAACTCCACAAGCCTCCGTTTTTCTGTTACACTCTGACGGGTGATAAACAACTACGTGAAAACATGAGACACAGGAAGAGCCACGGGAACATCACATGCATGCCATGAATCACCAACACGGGGATGCGAAGCTGGAGCAGGCAGGAGTCTGCTGCTGCCTGCAGGGGTCAGGCACTCCTGTGGACTGGCAGCCAGTCAGTGCTGAGGCATAGATGATCACCCTGGCACCGCATTCACAAAACAAACAGAGGCATCTGACACAACTCTGTCCTAAGTTTAGGGTCAAACAAACGCAGCCATCGCATCTACAAACACATCTAAACTATCCGCAACAGGAAGTCAGGTTACCAACTCCTTATGACTACTGCTGGTACAGGCAGCTTCATCCAAATATCCGCTTGATTTCAAGCAGGAAATGCAGTGAGAGTAGACACCTGCAAAGTCTGATCATCTGGCGTCATGCAGGCCCGCGGAGGACACGGTGGGGGACGTCCCCAACTGTTGCATCCGACACATAACTAGGTCAACCTTGATGCAGGAAACGCACAATATCACGGATGTAACAAAAGGACTTCCCTGCTGTGAGACGTGGCTTTTTCCGCGTTTAGAAACGCGCGATGAGAAAAGTAGAAGCCGGAAAACGCATCTCGGGCGGGCGACCTCACTCACACACACAGCCGACCTCGGATTAAAACGGTCCAACTGCTAGCAACAATTCTTCTAACAAGCTCGGTCGTAGCTATGTACATTCCCCAAAGTACGAGCACTTACCAGCTGTTTACACTGCAGCCACAGACAATGTTGACATGTAGGCAACTTGCTGCTCGGGTATCTCCTGTGCTTTTATTAGCGCAAACCGAAACAAGTTAAACATTGACGGCGTGCAAACACTGCACGCGCACTCGGAAATACTCCGTAACAACTTTGCTGGACTTGTTCGCCACTTTTCATCTGAAGTTGTCGGCGAAGACAGACGCCATGTTTGTGTCTGCGCTGAGAGTTTGTCGGTGAGCTTTCGAGCTAAACGTCCGTCGGGCTGGAACCGCCCAGGGGAGAGCTGAGGGAGGAGGGCTACAGTCCCTAACCGAGTCGGGGAACGCTGTCAAGTTGACGCCATGTTGGCCCGCATCAGACCATCGTCATCCGGGGGCGTCTTTTCAAAGTAAAACTCCATGACTAGCGAAAAAAGGGTTACTTTTCAAAATAAGGCCACTAATAAATGTATTGTTTTTCAGTAAATACATTATCGTTTTTAGTGACAATAGCACTGCAATACTCCATGATTCAACTATTACAATATATGGTATATAATATTTTATTTTCTGTAGTTTAGAATACAAAACCAAATCAGAAAAAGTTATGACGGTATGAAAAATCTAAATTGAAACTGAAAATGGTGATTTGTAAATAATCTGGGTCTGCTGCTGTTGGTCATTGTGTGGATACTGTAAGTCATCCACAGTATGTTTTATTGTTCTTTATTTATTATTATTATTCTGGGATCTTCCATCTGTTTTTTTGGCATTTTATAACTCCAGCATGCTTTCAGCTATAAAAGTCATTCAGGTATCAAAATGTTTCGCTTTAAAAGGATATGGGTATTTGTATTAATCTTTTTTTGGGTAACATTTATGCTTTTTAAAATATTCTGCTTTTTTCCCTTTGGCTAGAACCGCCGTTCAGATAATAAATGTTCAGCTCTTGAAGGACATTTCTGCTTGTCTTTTTTTTGTGTGTGTAACATTTATACTTTTTAAAATATTCAGGTTTGTTCAGCACATTTAGCCCCATTCAAATGAAGGGGAAACATACTATGTGATCCAATTATTTAGATTTTCTGGGTTCTTCCGTACGTTCTTCTTTTTGGCGCTTAATTTCTTCAGCATACTTTCAGCTACAAAAGCCATTCAGATATCAGGATGTTTGTGCTTGCATTTTTCTTTTTTGTAACATTTATACTTTTTTTCAGCACATTTTGCCCCATTCAAATGAATTGGGAAGATTTTTACATCTTAATAACTTCGGCATACTTTCAGCTACAAATACCATTCTGGTATCTAAATGTTCAGCTTTGTAAGGCCATTCCTGCATGTATTTATCTTTTTTATTATGTTTGTACTTTTTAAGAAAGTCAGCTTTTTTCAACATTTGTTTAGCACTTAATAACTCCAGCATATATGCAGCTAGAAACACCATTCAAATAACAAAATGTTCAGCTCTTTATAGATATTCCTGCTTGTATTTATCTTCTTCCTTTTGGTACCACTTGTAGAGAAGGTCAGACCATGTCAGAGTCATACAGGTACATGAAGATCCAGGCTGTGTTGGACATCATGTCCTCAGCTTGAGTCAGGTCAGGATAAGACATGACAGGGACCAGTGTTCATGTAGAGGGACTAACACAGAGGTCATGCACACAGAGGATGGTAATGATGCAGAACAGACGCTGAGTGAAGTCACATGTGTTACACAGTGATCGGTCCCCTCAGGGCGTCGGTGGCCTCGGGCAGCAGTGTCCAGACACAGCCCTGCTACAGTCTGATGCTGCTTCACCTTCAATTTCAATTTGCTGTATGTCTGTTGCGGACTGGCGATCTCTCCAGGGTGGACCCCGCATCTCACCCAATGTCAGCCAGGATTGGCTACAGCCCCCTCGACCCTATTCAGGAATGAACAGTATTGATAACAGATGGATGTGGAATATTGGCACCAGTTGGCGAACCCCATCCTTAAACTATCACATAATACTTTATTTTGTTAGAAAAAAAGTCTCGCTGTTGAGAGTTTGCGAGACGTGTATAAACAGAGTTGCTTCTCTATAAAAATACTAGAACATACGTACACCTCATTTTTTGAGCTTTAGGGCATGTCTAAGATGATAATTCACATTTATTGCAATTTTACCTAGAAGCTATGACCTAATTTTCCCTCTTGCAAACCTGACTGACTGACCTTTGACCTGTGAATTTACAAGTCTCAGCAGTGTCAAACCAGTTTCAGAGAACAGTAGGTCAAGTGTGTCATATGAAGAGACATGTACCTGTGACATGTTTACCTCAGCTACCAGGTCCTGGTGTCTTCATAAAATACTGCCCCGAGTGTTTCTAGTCTATGTCACCATAAGCCTGAGATGTGATGATGAGGTAGACCAGGAATCTCTGTGCTTATTTGGTCATTTACCCGAACTCAATGAAAAGATTACTTATTCCTGACTGTGCAGTTCATTGGTTTTTAAAGGGAAACACCCCCAGTTTTACTCATGAAGGTTAGTTTATCAAACAGCCTGTGAACAAAGTTGTCTGAAGTGGAATGGTGATATTTTTGGCTGTGACTTACATAATGCTTTTGAGGGTGGATGTTATTTTCTCTGATATGGTGAATTCTGTGAGAAAATTGATCCAATGATTGATCTGTAGCGATTTATGACCCTAAATGCCTCATCACATCATGTAGGGGTCAATTGAGAGAGATGAAACTTAATGTGATAATTAATCAGGACAAATTAATGACATAAAGCTTTAAATGACAAAACAAAAAATAGACATAAATTATAACTACATGGATAGATAGAGATGTTTGCCAGCCTGATTTCAGTAAAAAAAACACTGCACAGTTCATGTCTAAGAAGTAACAGAGTTTAATGATGTGTCCTTTCAAAATAATGTGTAGGAAGGAACAATAATCAACACTGTTTCCTCCTTTGAGCCTGTTATTTCTGTCCCTGGTTTACAAGTGAATTCAGTGTCATCTCATTGACACTGTTGATCAGACTGTTCCCACTGATCCACCACTGGATTCTAGGTAAAAATCTTGTTTTTAGTCTGAGAGTTAAAGAATAAAAGGCAACAAACAGTCAGTAGAGTTGCTGCTGTCATTCCAGCTCCACAGTAGAGGCCAATTAAATATTGACCTGCTGAGTCTAGTCTCTCAGGTTCTGTCTCGGGTTCAGGCCGGTCCCTCGCTGCATTCGAAGCAGTTGGGTGCCTTGGACGTCATATAAATCAGCTGATTGGTTCGGTTTGTCATGTGAATCACTTTGCGGGATTGAGTGTGTCCAGAGATGGGATATCTCTATTTAGTGGCGTTCATTTGACTCTGTCTTTGCAGAGCAGGTTGGTTTGTTGCTGTTGTTGCGTTAGTTGCTTTGAGAGTTAGTAGAGTTGTAGCAGATTGTGTATTTAGTGGAGAATCCATGTAGATAGAGAGATCAATAAATAGCTAGATAGTAAGTTACATAGAGAAATAGATAAAATAGTTACATAGTTAGATAACACTACTTAGATACAGTTATTTAGATTGTCCTAAATAACATTTTTTATATACTCCCGTGGCTTGTTACCAAGACTAAGTGAAGTGCCGTCTGAAAGTCTACTAGATGATGTGAATGCAGCACTAAGAACTATCCCTACGACGACCATCACTGAGACCAACAAGTTCATATACACCACAGCAACCATGATCCTTGAGATGCTTGGTTTAACAAAGGCCATAAGGAGCAGTATCCTCCATGGAGAAGGAGGTTGGAGACCAAGATCAAGGCAGCAAGGAGAGAGAGTTAGCCAGCTATCGGAATTGCAGAAAGGCATGATGAAGAAAGGGGTACCTAAGAAGTACAACTCACTGTCCATACCTGAGGCCTTAGAGACTGCCAAGCAAAGGCTCACAGCCCTGGCCACACGGCTGAAGAGATACACCAGAGAAGTTAAAGCCAGGAGAATAAACCAAATGTTCTCCACTGAGCCATCCAAGGTGTACTCTCAGTGGCAGGGTGATAACATGAGAGCAGACCCACCAAGGATGGAGACTGAACAGTTCTGGAAGAGCATAAGGGAGAAGGATGCATCACACAACAACAATGCCCAATGGCTAGTGGACCTAAGAGCAGACCACAGCAACCTCCCTGCACAAGACCCAGTAATCATCACAATGGCAGACATTCAAGGGAGGGTCTCAAGTATGAAGAGCTGGACAGCACCAGGCCCTGACATGATCCATGCCTACTGGTTAAAAAAGCTAGCCTACTGGTTAAAGAAGCTAACTTCACTCCATGAGCGCCTGGCAGGACAAATGAACCAGCTACTAATAGATGGAACCCACCCTGAGTGGTTAACTGAAGGCTGGACAGTCCTGATCCTGAAGGACTCTTATAAGGGAGCAGTACCATCCAACTACCGCCCAATAACCTGCCTCTGCACAACATGGAAGCTCCTGTCAGGCATCATAGCAGCTAAGATGAGCAGGCACATGGCTCAATACATGAGCAGCGCCCAGAAAGGAATTGGTAGTAACACCACAGGAGCAAAGCACCAGCTACCGGTTGATAAAGTAGTCACTTGAGACTGCAAGTCTAGGCATACCAACCTGTGCACTGCCTGGATTGACTACAACAAAAGCCTATGACTCAATGCCTCACACATGAATCCTGGAATGCTTGGAACTGTACAACTTCGACAGGACTCTAAGAGCATTCATCAAGAACTCAATGGTAATGTGGAAAACAACCAACTTCAAGCCAATTGCACAAGTCAACATCAAGTGCAGTAACATCAAGTGCGGAAAGCAGCAACCACCAAGTACCTGCAGAGAGCAAGGCAATTCCTGAGAAGTCAGCTGAATGGGAAGAACAAAGTCCGGGCAATTAACACCTACACCCTGCCGGTCATCAGGTACCCCGCTGGCATAATAAGCTGGCC